AAGTTATTGTTGAATAAAATAGAAGCATATTTAGAAACTGAAATCTAATTCATCAATCAACAAACCTTTTAATGAAATGAGAAGAAAAATCTGTAAAATCAGAGAAAATGTGAAATAAATTTCAGAAATGGAGATGATACGAGAAGACGAGAGACAGCGTATTCTTTTATTTTTTTTCAAAATAATAAATTTTAAGATATACTAAAAAGATATTATGTAGATATATTAAAAATATTATGTAGATTCTCTAACGATGTTTTTAACAATTTTTAAATAAATATATTAGGGGTTGAAGAATATTAAATTGGGCAATTTGGTAAATTTATATATACTTAAGTGTATTTTTTCAAAAACGTAAACAATGGTATATTTTTCAAATTATAATCTTATTGGAGTGCATTTCTCCAAATTTTCCCTAAATAAAACCCAACAAGGACATGTCCAAGTTTGATGGTGTAATTGTTTTGTAAAGTTTAGTTTCGTGGATTTTGTTTTATGCCTGAACAGATCCGGATCTTGAACTAAGCTAAGAAAGTATAAACTAATTAATTAAGACTCTGCAAACCAAAATGATAATTCGACGAAAGATGATTTTTTTCTTGGCACTTTGTGCTATACTATCCACCTTTGTATTATGCACCCGAAGATATGAATGAGCTCTAAATGGTGAAAAATGTCTTGTAGATCTTGATGTCTTCCACATAATCAGCAAACACAGACCATTCTTTTGGTGCAGAAACCATCTTCACTAGCTGAGAACAATATGCTGGAAATGTAATTTGATACATCCTCATACGTTCCATCGCCCATATAATTAAGGGCTTCTATCTCTGAATGTAAAGGCGAGAGGATTACTCTCGTATTCTTTTCTCTCATCAGTCCCTCAAATCCTTCCAGCGTACTGTACCAATTTTGTCTCGAAAAAAAATCTTGATCTTTCCATAACCTATCCGTAAAACATCAGCGACCCAAAATTGAAGGTAAACTTATCATTTTCCCTCGATTAAGTGGTTTCACGTGTGACTGAAGTGCATTTACCCAAAGTAATGATTATGTTTCACCTAATTTTAGTCTAGATCTAGGATCAACATCTATATTACTAAAAACTTGTTGTTCTTTCTTTTCCAAATATACTATAAATCACTGTAGATTGATGATCTTCCATGTGCAAGAACACCCTCTATAATAGATCATTCATATTTGTAAACAGCGTCTAAGAATGAAAAGTGTCTGGGTTTGATAGAATTTTGGAGTGAACCCAAACTTAAATTGCTGGAGGACATTCAAAAAAACATATGGTTAATTGATTCGTCGTTAACTCCACCTATTTCACATTGTATATTATCTTGTATACCTAATACACACAAATAAATTCAACCACAACTAACCAAAATTTTCTTTGGTCTAATTGTATAATCTCAAGTTTACAAGATTCCCCTGTTCAGTCTATAAGTTAAAATTTCTCATAATGCACATTTTCCTGTATTTTCTAATGAGAAAAGTGTCTTTTTTTGTTTGCCTCTTGGATTTCCTTAGACCGATAATGCGTTTGAATCACGCTGTTAGGCATGCCGAAATAAATTCATGGCCATTAAGACAAGTATGAGTAAGGCATATGATAGAGTCGAGTGACCTTTTATTGAGGCCCTACTTCTCAAAATGGGTGTTGATCCTCACTGTGTCAATTTGATGATGGGATTCGTATCTTCGGTACAATATAGTGTTTTACTTAATGGCCAGCCAAGGGGACACATAATTCCGCAAAGGAGTTGAGACCTGGAGACCCACTTTCTCTTTATCTTTTTATTATGTGCACGAAAGCATTGATTGGAAATATTTACAAGGCATAACAAGAAAAACAAATGATGGGCATGAAGTTTGCCCGAGCTTCCCCATTAATCTCTCACTTTCTCTTTGTAGATGATAGTCTCTTTTTTACAAGGCCCAAAACAAGAATGTCAGAGGATCCTTCAAATCCTAAAGGAGTATGAAATGGTGTCGGGGCAGCAGATTAATTTCCAAAAGTCTTTGATTCAGTTTGGTCATAAAATTGATGAGACTATCAAGAAGGAACTCATGGATATTCTAGAAATACATAATCAAGGCGGGATGGGATCATATTTAGGTATTCCTGAGAGTTTGAGGGGATCAAAAGTCCAAGTTTTTGGATTTGTCCAAGATTGGTTATCCAACATAGTTAATAGATGGACCTTTAAGTTTTTTACCAAGGGAGGAAAAGAAGTGATTATAAATTCTGTCATCACGGCATTACCAAATCATGTAATTTTCGTGTTACCGCATCCCGTAAACGGTAAAAAAAAATTGACAAGGGCAGTGGTTCAATTTTGGTGGAGTCTAGGAGGCAACACGAGGGGAATACACTGGAAATCATAGGACAAATCATGTATTCACAAAGATGAAGGGGGTCTGGGTTTTACGGATATTACAGACTTCAATACGGCTATACTAGGAAAACAACTATGGAGACTCATAGAGAAGCCCGCACACACTGTTTTCTCGCGTCTTCCATGGTCGGTATTTCAGGAATGCTTCACTGCTGGACCCAATCCGATCGTATTCTCCGTCGTATGGCTGGCATAGTATTATTTCAGCTAGATCTCTGGTTAGCAAAAGACTAATCAAAAGGGTGGGAAAATGATCTTCTATCTTTGTATGCAATGATCCATTGTTTCCAACCAACCGCCCGAGACCAGCAAACAAAAACCAACATGCTCTTTACCCGGATCTTAAAGTGGACGCTCTCATCAATGGACATTCAAGAACATGGAATACACAGGTACTCCAGTCTTTGGTAATTCCCCAGGATGTGAAGATTATTGAAAGTATACCATTGAGCCGGATCCCGATGATTGATAGAGAGGGGTGACATTTTACCAAAAGTAGTAAATATACAATTAAATTTGGTTATTAGGTAGAACATGTTTATTCTGACAGAGTAAGTCTGATACCAGAATACGGACCTACGGTGTCTTTGCTTAAGACATTTTGTTGGAAAGTACGCTGCCCCCCAAAGATGAAACATTTTTTATGACAATTGGTATCAAGATTCATTGTGGTTAAAAAAAAATCAAAGGTCGCGAGGAATGCAGGGTGAAATACTATGTAGCAGATGTGGAGCACCAGAGGAAACAATTAACCATGTTTTTCCAAATGTCCTCCCGCAGTCCAGGTTTGGGAACTCTCTTGGATTCCTTCGAATCCAGTGACTTTTCCCTCGCAGTCGTTTTTCTCAATTATGGATTACTTGTTCAAGAGGATATCCCCGAAGATGGATGATCATTTTTTTCCATGGATATTATTGTACATTTGGAAGAGTCGAAACAATAAAGTTTTTAGTAATCTAGATGAGGACCCCAGGGACACTCTTGATCTTGCGGAGAGGGAATCACGTCTTTGGACTGAAGCTCATGATTCGTTAACATCAAGGATAAGTCAGCAAAGATCAGTGAATGAGACAACTTTACTAGCTATTACGGGCAGATGGTGTTATACGGATGGGTCTTGGAAAGACCAAGATACTTTTTCAGGACGAGGATGGTATAGTACCTTGGACGACTTTGATGGTTTAATGGGAAAAAAGGAATACCAGGGTTAATCAAACACCACGACACGCGAAAATAGAGGCACTCATATGGGAAATGGAATGTATGTAGAATCTACGTCAATATAATGTTATTTTTGCAAGGGATAGTTCTCAGCTGGTGAAAATGGTTTTGGAACCAGAAGAATGGCCGGCTTTCGCAAACTATCTAGAAGACATCAAGATTCTGACGGAAAGTTTTCACAGCTCAAAAATTATCCATATATCCGGAACGCACAATACAAAGACATACAGTCTGGCACGGAGTGTTAAGAAGCAACCGCCTTCGTTGTCTTTATGGATGCAAAGCTACCTGAGTGGTTTGCATAGTTTACATGAGTCTGTGTTCTTTATATTGATGACAAAAATATGATTGTCTATTATAGGTTTTTGACGGACCTTAAGGCACTTACATCAATAGAATCTCTTTCAAAAATTTCTCATATTATAAAAGTGAAAATAAAAGGTAGAAATTTGAAAGTTGAAAAGCTAAAATATAAAATGAAATCAACAAAATCATTGTTTTAGCCGGAACACACTGCCAGAGGATTTTTGAATACATAATTTTTAGATTAGAAAACTAGCGGATTAGTCTTTATAGAAAAGAAAAAGATATAATAGAAATGACTATAATTTTTAAAATCCATAAAACTCGGCATAAACCGAAATCAAATATTATTAGGTGTTTTCTTGCACTATGTGCAGGATAATTTTTTTGAAAATTTGAATCATATTTATTAGTAAATGTTTGTTAATTTTTAGATTTTATTTTTTTGTATAATATTTTAATTTAATTATATATAAAAATTAAGGTAAAATATAATTTATTTAAATTTACATTTAATAATATATATGTATATATTTATTAAGAAATATTTTATCTATTTATTTTGGTTAAAATATATTAAATAACTTTTAGAAAATATTAGTTTATTAGGTATATAATTATCAAAACTTAAAACTAAATAACATTTTTACAATTTATAGATATTTAAAAGAAACTCATAGTATGTCATGTCATCTTTTTTGTTTTAAAATTAATGCGGTGATGACAAGTGGTAAAATCACTTCTCAAATAATAATTAAAGGATCAACGATACACATCCAAAAATGATTTAAAAGGCTGCTGAACTGTTTCTTATGCTCCACGTTTAGTCTTTGTCGTTCAATATAATTGTTTGTTTTTAATTAATTTACTAATCTATTTAAGGTATTTCTGTTGGGAAAGCCGCGGGAAGGAGAAAGGTGTTATATGAAAAAAGGAGATTGTTGCTGTGTTTCCAACGACGACTTGATCCTCTCTCCTCCTCTATCGTTACAATTTTATCTCTGTTTCCCCCAGATCATCGCCATTCTCTGTCTCGTATGAGAACCAAGATCCACTGTTCTAATATCGACAATGGCAACGGTAAGAACAATCTCCATCTCCATGTTAAACAAAAATCACATAAAATTATGATACATGCTGTGTCAAAACTCCCTTCCTTGCAACACAATCTCCGATTTTTTTTTAAAAAATGTTAAATAAATTCTCAAAACTTTGGTAAATAAAGAGAGTTTTTTTTTAATTATGATGAACAAATCTATTCTTGGAGGTGGTGTGTAGGGAAATAAAGGAAGACAGCTACCAAAATTTGGGGAATGGGACGCTGCAACTAATCCAGGCGCCGCACAAGGATTCACCGTCATTTTCAACAATGCTCGTGACGACAAGAAGACCAAGAAAACAGCTGTGGCAGGTCCTGAGAGTCTTGTTACACCTCAAACAAACAATGAGCCTCATCAGAAGAAGAACAACCATCGTCATCATCGTCATCAACAGAACAACAACCATCGTAAGAAACGTTATTCGTCGCCACCCCCACGAGAAAAGGTACCTTCCTTTTTCTTCAAGACACATACCCTAATCTTGACAAAAGAGTAGACTACTCACGTGATATTACGTTTGCAGAAGAAATGGCTTTGCTTCCTTTGAAGAACACAATGATAAGGAAGCAGACCGGTTGAGTGTTCAACAAATGACAACGACAAAACCTTTTGTTTGTATAAGATGTTGCTGCAAACTTCTCTTCCTCTTTTTCTAGCTTGTTGAGTTTCTCTTTCCAACTTTGTTTTGGTCACATTTGGTTATATATATAAACATACATTGTTCTTTGCTGCTTCCTGGTTTGATTTTTAGGTATTTAATATTTGCATAAACCTCATGTTATCTGAATACTTAATACCATTTGGCTTCAAAACCCATTGCAACAAAACAAACCCTCACTTATCATTAGGTTCCAAAAAAATAACTAATTGCAGTTTCAATAGCAGAATCTGAACTTTATTTTAAGGGATTATCTCCCATCACATCAAATATGAACCATTTTAGAAAAAAATAGAAAACAGCCAATGGAAAGAAACTGGCAGGCTACATTTAACCTCAAAGAGTCAAGAGGGCGGTGGATAGTTTACAAAAGTTCTTTGGTGAAAATGTGTCAAAAGAACTGAGGGTAGGCTTGCCACATAAATCTTGTTTGGAGAGTATTAAGTTAAAACGTTTTTGCAAAAAAACAACAACAGAGCCCACGATAGAAAGACAAAAGAGTACTTACTACCTGATAGCCTAGACAAATACAAAAAGAAAAGAATCAATCTAGATGTATACTTTGAAATAGAACACAGATATTACTAAAGATCCACAGCTGATGTACTTACTATCTGATAGCCATTCCAGTTAGTAGTTTGAGATGAATAGAATGTTGGGGAACATGATCCAACGGATCCACCATTATTACCATGGAAAAATGGAGAGTTGGTCCCTCCAACAGTTATGGATCAGGGGTGATTAAATTTGCAGGAGTCATTGCGCATGTAGGAAAGACATTCTATTTCTCTCCCTGGCATTGGGTTGTTGCATCACTATACAGTGCCGACAAGACTAAGTACCAAAATGTCAAAAATAGGATTCTGGTCTGATGGGAAGGCCGAGAAAGTTAAGCTCCTCTACGGCTGTACCGAGGGTAGACCAGACTTTGGCTTTGTGTGGTTGAATCTTTACAAGTTTCTTCTCCATATTTGCAACCTCCTGTCCTAAAGTAATATTGAAAACCTCAAACAAGAAATTGGAGGACACAAACTGAAATATCAGTTTTGTGAACGTAACTAATATCAGTTTTCTGTGGTGTAAATTTCGGCTACTTCAGTTCAAATTTTGGTTGAAGTCAGCAGGGTATGATATGGTTATAAGCTTATAATTGTAATTAGGTCCCGATCATGTTATTGAGTTCAATATAAAGACCTGAGTCTGAATCTCCTATTCAATGTTCTAAAAATCAAACCTGTAAAAAACGATTTTGAACAACGAATTTTTCAAAAATCAGTTTAAAAAACGCCAAGGCCTAGATTTCTTGAACATTGTTCCTAATAGTCCAAGCCAGGAAGCAGCATAAACAAATATAAGAACTTTCGGGGGTGCCTGTAAATATTATCATCAATATGTATATATACAGAATCTCCAAAGCATCTTTGTCCATTGACCGAAAGCTATTATCCATTGAGCTATCTGAAGGTGCACATTGTCTCACAGCATATTCTTCTCTAAGTGAACGGTCTGAAACCATTATTGTTGAAATATGGCTTGAATTTGCGATCTGATCGATCGATCCAGGTGTCATAGATCGACCGATCTGACCTGACACAGATCGGTCGATTAGGAAGTTATGAATCGGTCGATTGTGTCAAATACAAGAAATATAGAAAGTTTCATTAAACGTTTTCTTATACATCTTTAGGCTATTTACCCTATTCTGAAAGCACGAATTGTACTCTGAAAAACTAGTCTCCATTAGTAAAGTACTCTTTTTGCCCGTGGATTAAACCACGTTAAATCTCTGTGTCGTTCTTCATTGTTTATTCAATCTGTTAATCTGTATCTTCTCACATCCGTCACAACAAAATGGTATCAGAGCTTCGTGTTGAATTTGGTGAGAAGATGTCTGGGATAAACATAAAGATCGATAAGTTTATTGGAAGGAACAATTTCAGTCTCTAGCAAATCAAGAAGAAGGCATTGCTGAAGCAACAAGGTCTTTGGGCACCGTTGTCAGGGAAGAAGGTTGAACATGTTACTGCTAAGATGGAGGTTACTGAAGAGAAGGCGTATTCAACATTTTTGTTATGTTTGGCAGATGAGATCATCATCAAGTTTTCTGATGTTGATGCTGCAGCTGATTTGTGGTTGAAGTTAGAGAGTTTATACATGACAAAGTTTCTTACTAAGAAGCTACTTCTGAAACAGCGTCTTTTCGCTCTGAGGATGCAGGAAGGTACACAACTTCAGGATCACCTTGATAATCTAAATTCCATTATGTTGGATCTGAGAAATATTGATGTTAAGGTGGAGGATGAGGATGCAGCGCTGATTTTGTTGGTATCACTGTCTAACGCCTATGAGAATTTTGTTCAGTCATTCATAGGGAGTAATGATACAGTGAGTTTGGAGGAAGTCAGGTCGGCACTTCATAGCAGGGAGTTGCGTCACAAGGCATCAAGTTCTGGTACAGATGATCAAGCTTCTGGGTTGTTTGTAGGTGGTGGAAAAAACTTTGAGAAAGATAAAAGGTCGTTTACAAAGGGTCATAAGCCAACTTATATTTACCATTATAGCAATGAAAGAGGATACTGGAAGTTTGATTGTCCTAAGAAGAAGGAGAAGCAAGCTGATTCCGCTGTTGTAGCAGATAATGAAGCTAAGTCTGATGATGATATTGCTCTAGTTGCTCATTGAAAAACACATTCTAGAGATGTGTGGGTTCTAGACACATGAGCGTCTTATCATATGTGTCCAAGGAAGGAATGGTTCTTAGAGTATGAGGAAGTGACTGATAGCAAGATCAAGATGGCGAATGACTTCGTTTGCGATGTTGCAGGAATCTGTTCTATAAAGCTCAGCGCACATGATGGTAGAGTTTGCACATTGACCGAAGTTAGACATGTTGCAGCTATGTCCAAGAATTTGATCTCAGTTAGTCTTTTGGATAGTAGAGGTTTCAAGTATTTAGGTGGAGATGGAGTTCTGAGTGTCTACAAGGGTTTATATGTGATTCTGAGAGGTTTCATTCATGATATTATGTATTTGCTGGAAGGTTCTACAGTTTCAGCAAATGGTCTGGAATTTTGTTCATCAGAGTTCAATCAGTTTTGTAAGGATGCAACAGTTACTAAGCATCTTACAATCAGAGATACACCACAGCAAAATGGTGTAGCAGATATAATGAACCAAACTTTGCTAGGGGAAACGAGGTGCATGTTTTCTAATGCATGTTTGGAGAAGAGGTATGGGGCTGAAGCAGAGAATTGGGATTTTGACAAGCAGGTGGAGCTGGAGGAAGTGCAGTCGGATGAACCGTGTCGATCGATGACGGATCAACAGTGTCGATCGCTGACGGATCAAGAGTGTCGATCGACGTCAGATGGTCAGTGTCGATTGACGTTGGATGGTCAGTATCGATCGAAATTGGAAGATGTAGAATCAACCAATTCCTATCTGACGACCCAGGATCGAAAGATCCACATACATGGGATCAAACGATCACGTCAGACGAATTCTCTAGTTCTGGAAATCAACGTGTTGGGTCAGAAAAATGCAGTATATACCAATGAGAGTTGATGTCAGGCCACCAGAGAGATATCACTTTGATGATATGGTGGGTTATGCACTGAAGGTTGCAGAGGAAGTGGATACTTATGAGTATTCACTTACAGAAAAGCTGTTTTTAGTTCTGAGTCTGAGAAATGGTTTGCTGCAATAGAAGATGAGATAGATTCTCAAGAGAAGAATCATACATGGGATATGGTCACACTATCACCTAGGAGAAAAGTTGTAACTCGCAAGTGGTGGTGAGACAGCTATATGGTCAAGTTGGGCTACGATAGGAGTCCTTATGACTGTTGTTTTTACATGAGCAAGGTGGAGGATGTTTCGTGTATCTACCTAGTGTTGTATGTAGATGACAAGCTGATAGATTATAGGAAGATGTATGATGTTCAGAAGCTAAAAGAGCTGTTGAATTCTGAGTTCGAGATTTTCTGGTACCTTAAGGGTACATCTGATGTTAGTCCTGTTTAGGGAGATAGGGATCTGAGCCTGGTTATAGATTCTGATTGGTATTATGCAGGAGATGTGGACAGTAGGAGATCTATGACTGGTTACGTATTTACTTTGGGTGATTCTGTTGTGAGCTGGAAGGCAACTTTACAGTCGACAGTGACTTTGTCTACAACTGAGGCAGAGTGTATGGCATTGACAGAAGCTACTAAGGAGGCAATATGGTTGAGATGATTGGTCAGTGATCTTGGTCTTCATCATGATCAGGCTACTATGTTCTGTGATAGCTTGAGTGCTATCTGTTTAGCAAGGATCAGGTTCATCATGAAAGAACCAAGCATATTGATGTGAGATACCATTTTCTGAGAGATGAGAAGAGGATTGAGGTGAAGAAGGTAGGAACAGCTGATAATCTTGTGGACATGTTCACTAAGCCGGTTCCTCTTTGCAAGTTCAAGCATTGTCTTGACTTGCTGAATATCTCAAGCTGTTAAATCTGGCTCTAATGGGCGTCTGGCCCAAGTGAGGGCATCTGGCTATGAGGAGCATCGGGCTCTGAGGATCATCTGGTCCGACGAGACATCTGACATCTGAGTTCGACGGAACATCTGAGGTAAAGAGAGAGTCTGGTACATCTGAGCACGAAGAAGTGCATTTTGGTACATCTGATTATGGAGGATTCAAGTCAAGGTGGAGATTTGTTGAAATGTGCCTTGAATCCGCGATCTGACCTGACACATATCGGTCGATTCAGGAGTTATGAATTGGTCGATTGTGTCAAATACGAGAAATATGGAAAGTTTCATTAAACGTTTTCTTAAATATCTTAGGGTGTT